TTGAAGTCTTTAGAGCTATGGACTTCTTCTTTACTTCATTTTCTTTGCCTTTATCCATCTTTACCTTCTTTTCATATTCTTTTTCATGTTTTGCTAAGCAATTGAGTTCTTACTCATACTCTTCCAATTTTCCGAACAAAGTCGTGAGATTAAGTACTTCAAGATCATTTGCCTCGTTGATAGTGATGACATTAGGTTGCCATTCCCTACTTAAACATCTCAACTATTTGTTAGTAGCAATATTATTGGAAATAGGCTTACCTAGCGCATTTAATCGATTGATAAGATGTGTGAATTGTTTTCGCATGTCCTTAATGGTTTCACCATGCTCCATACAAAATAACTCAAACTCTTGATGTAATGTGTTGATCCTAGCTTGTTTGACATCATTAGTACCCTCATGGGTAACCTCTAATGCGTCTTACATAGCCTTGTCGGTCTCACAATGAGAAACATGATAATACTCATCAACACCTAAAGCGGATGTGAGAATATTTTTCGCTTTCCAATCACGTGATCAAAATTTTCTACTATTAGCATACCATTGTGCTTCCAGTTTAGGTAATGTAACACCTTCACCATTGGTCACAATTATTTCATTCAGACCATTTTTGATGGCATCCTAAATACCATTGTCAACAGAGTTGACATGAATACGCGTACTAGTTTTTCAATAGCCATAATTTTCGTCGGTGAAAATTGGTGCTCTATTGTACACTCTCTTATATTCGGTAGCCATTCTTCTAAGAGTAAATCTTAAGCACAGAATTAACCGGAGCCCGTGATACCACTTGTTAGACGATAGACTTCAATATAGATAGGGGGAGAATAAATCACAAATTTAAAATTTAAACTTTTGGAAAAAATGCTTTTCAAAAACTTTATAGCACAACGGAAACAACCAGAATCGAATCGTCTAACCAAACCTACTATCGAAAAGCTCGCATATGCGTAAAGATACACAGTTGAATGATAACGAACATAAATTGTTCAACAATGATTAATTCAACACAATTAAATGCTAAGCTATATGTATAACTTATTTTCAATGATAAAAAACCAAATAAAAATACAAATGACAATTTATCGAATACTTTGTGTACAATCTATAACGTTTAGAAATTTAACTTGTTTTATTGATGTTAAAGCCAATCACAATCAAAGTGATTATGATTATATCAACAATCCTTAATTCAAAACATAATCAAAAATTTGATTTCCAAATGAATTGATCAAAACAACAACAAATTTGATAATTTGCAAATACAAAAATGAGAGAGAGAGAGAGAGAGAGAGAGAGAGAGAGAGAGAGAGAGAGAGAGAGAGAGAGAGAGAAGGATTTGTTTTGGCATTTCCCCAATCGATCTCACTATGGGTACGTCTGCACTCAAATCAAGTTCGAATTAAGATAATTGTAATTACCTTACTTTGCAAAAAATGTATATACAAGAGATGAAGAACTCTAACCCTACAAACCCTATGGTTTGTTGTTGACTACCACCTCCAGAACCTTTGATTAAAGGTTGATCAAGTCACCAACAATGCTACTTCAATCCACCAGTTCTTGTTACTACATTGCAATACCTCCCGTCTCAAGGTTTTTGCTTGGTAGGATTAATCTCAAGCACGCACTTGTTAAACCCAGATTTACGAATACAATCCACCATCTCACAGTATTCCCTTGCAAGGCACCACCTTGTCCCAAGGCTTTCACTTGATCCGTATTTGCGTAATCTTGTCCAAAAACTTCAAATCCTCAACGATCTTGAAGGAAAACCCAACTTGGTTTTCTTATTTGAAATACACAAAGAACTCAACCCAATATTCTCGATACACCAATCTAATTGAACATTATCAACCCTAACCTAGATGTTCACCAAATAAAAAAAATAATTTTATGTAGTTTGATTGTATGTATGCATAGAAGAGAGGTTGAAGATGATGAATATGTTTTATAATTCTGGTTTCATATAGGTTTTACACTAGAATTTTACTAGAAAAAGATGCATGTATATATATATATATATATATATATATATATATATATATATATATATATATATATTATATATATATATATATATATATATATATATATATATATATATATATATATATATATATATATATATATATATATATATATATATATATATATATATATATATATATATATATATATATATATATATATATATATATATATATATATATATATGTATGAGAGATATGAAGCAAGGGGCATGCATGAAAGGTTGAAAGGAAAAATAAAATTTTAAGTTTTGAAGGCAATAGGTCGACCTACCAATGTAATTGGGTCGACTGGTGAAAGTCTTAGGTCGACCTGTAGAGGTCTTGTGTCGACCTAAGTTAGTCAGCCTATGGACAGTGGTCACAACCTTTGTTATTGAGACATGGAAGTCGACCTGAACAAACTGTGTGTCAACCTATTCTGAAGCAAAGACTTATATAGGTTGGCCAAAGCGCGTGTGTCTCAGCCTATTTAGTCTTTTTCACACTAAAAACTTATTTTAGATGCATGCAGCTTGCCTAAGATATTTCCAATAATTTCCAAACATATTTGTATGCACCATAATGCTAAAATGATCATTGCACATATAGAATTTAGTTGATACCGTCCAATGCAAAAAACACTAAAGTTGCTCATAGTTTTGACATCATTCAAAACATGACTAAATGGAAAGATGAACTCACAAGTATTATATTATTATATGCACATACATATCAAAATCAAAAATAAAAACAACCTCAAATGAAAAACATCAAGGAATATATTAATCCATCTATGATCATTTTCTTACAATTAAAAAATCAAAATCATAGAAGTGCTCGCATTAGCGAAGAAAACATGTAGTTTTTTTTTATGGATAAAGAGGAGATAAAACCACCATATATGCCGCCAAATTAAAAAAAAATTATAAAAAAAATAGATTATTTTTTATTAGTAATGGCTAGGGCTGGCAATGAACCAAACCAACTCGAAGATAGTTCGGAATTCGACTCGACAATTAAATCGTTGAACTAGGTTCATGAACCAAATGAGTTGAGTATGAGCGAAAAATTAAGTTCGTTAACTAAATGAGCTGAACTTGAACTATACATAGTTCGACTCGTTAGGTTCATGAGTCAACTCGATTACATATGAAAAGAATTATATTGTCTTTAAGATTAGGTTTAAATATTTACTTCAAATCTTAGACAAATTTAATCTTCAATTTAGTAGTTTTTGAATTAGACTCTCAAATGTATCTCTTGAAAGTTGTGTAGGTTTTGAATTAATAGATTTCGAAGATAAAGTTAAATTTCAATATGATAACTTTTATTTTATTTTAATATTTTATTTAAAAAATATATATTTATTTAAAATGTCAAATATACTAAAAAATATATATATTTAAAAAAATAGTTTTTAAGTTCGTGAACCATGTGAGCCGAACCTAATGAGATGAACCTAATGAGTCGAACCGAACTGTTCGTGAACTTATAACGAGTCGAGTTTGAGCTTAAAAAAAAGTTCGTGTCGAACTCGAACTCGAACTCGAATTCGAACAATTCTTAACGAGTCGAGCCGAGCTGAGGTGAGTTCGACTCGACTCGACTCATTTCCAGCCCTAGTAATGGCCAAATCACTTAGGTGTTTAAGCTTAAAAAAAACCGATATTCAATTTTAATCCCGACAAATTTTAAATTATCAATCTCAAAAAGTATACTCTTAAGATCTAAACCAATGTTTTAAGAATAAGACCGAAACTCGAACCAATAAGACTTTTAATTCAATGTTCAATTGATTAAACCAATTCAACTTACGATTAAACCGTTCACTAAATATATAAATAAATAAAATAATAATAATTTCATAGATAAATCAAACACACTTAATTGTTACACAATGATAC